AGTTTACCCACGTTTGCGAATGATGAAAAGCTGCACCCCATTTTTGAATCATTCAGAATCTTACATTAATGTAGGTAATTTGAGCATCATTCAGTTTTCTTTTCTCACTAGACATTTACTTGAAAAGTCAGCAAAAGTCTGGTTCAACGTCTACATGTACATATTTGGTGCATACCCTGATTTCAAAAGGGCTTTCATCGAACAGTTTTGGGAAGCAAATAGGCAAAGGAAGATCGAATTGAATTTGGAAACGGGTCGATGTTATGAGGGAGATGGATCCTTTGTGAATTATTTCAACAAATTAGTGGCACAAGCCCGCCATGTTATATCTCTTTATTCAAATGAAAAGATGATCAGTTCAACGATAAATTTACCAAATCTATTCTGAGTGACATAAAAGATGTTCATAATGAACTTCAATGCATAAATGCAGCTATGAAACAGGACATAATAGATAAAGTTGTCAAACCATTTAAAGCAGATATTCTAGGTTTAGAAATTACATTAAAAATTACACGAAACAAGAAGTCATTCCGTGTTAGGAATCACACGTTAAAAGGTAAGACCTCGTTAATCCTTAGCTCGCACAAGTTTCGTAGGGGTGCGACAGCTGGTTAACGGAAAAACAGATTTTAAACAGATTTTTTTTAAGGATTCCAATAAGGACATGATCAAACTTTGAACAGGAAGAGCAGCTATACCGCTGATACCTCCTTTGGCTTATGGAAATAGGCCAAAAACGTCCTTTATTTCAGAAGTCCCTTACATACAAAACGTACCTGCGAGCAAACACAAACAAAGTCAACATAAATCAGATGGTAGGAATCCTGAAATTTCGAACACAATACGAAATGACCAAGAAACGTTCACATAAGTAGTACAGCGTGGACACAAAAGAACAAAACTTGAGGAGTCTCATGCTGGAGGGAAAGATCCAGCTGGAACTGTACTTGAAGGTCGAGACTTCACTTACTCAGGAAAAAACAGAAATAATGGAAACATTTTTGCTATTTGTATCAAGGGCTGATGAACATGTGACGGAAAAAAAGGTAAAGAAATACTTACACGGAAAAACAAAATGAGATATGACTGAAATTGAAGTTAAATTATTAAAAACCTTCTACACAAGAAAGGTTAATAATTGTTTCCTAGTTGGTGTAGAACCCCGATTCAAGAATGTTATATATGAATAATCATTCTGACCAGATGGTGTATGTAACATTTGAACGGTTCGATTTTAAAAAAGGTATACATTTCCTAGATAATCCTTGTCAAAAAAATGTTGGTGTAGTGAACAGCTCCTTCAGTAGTGTACAATCGGTTTTCGCAAATCCTCAGATGAATACCCAACTACAAACACTTGTGTGAACAACTCGACTCTACATATGGAATGACAGTCAGCAAAAGTTGTATCTGATTATCTGGGATTATGTGAACCTGCCATATTTTCAATTATACATACAAACGTGCAAGGTATCTCTTACAACTGTTGTTGTAATTTATTTATCATTTTGGCTCACCATGAAGAGGTTTTGGGAGAGCAATGTAAAACCTTGACAGAGATGTCATAGAGATTTTTTCGTTTTGTAATTGAAGTAATTTTATTCTATTCCTGTAATTTTCATATATTAAACTTCGAACATTTCTACACACCCAGAACCAGTAACAAAAAATTCTGACTGAAATTTCCAACACTGTTATACCCCAAAATAAAAATACTCTGTTTTACTGAACATTGGTTACGGGAAGATGAATTGGAATCGGTGAGTTTTGAAAACTTTATTTGTATCAGCTATTATTCAAGAAATAAATCAGGAGAGGTGGTTCCATTGTATTCATCCATAAGTGAAGTTTCTGATCTATTTGAGTCTTTCGGCCTAAAACAAACAATCTTTGAGACTACTCATATACAAGGGAACAATATTTTTATAAATGAAAACTTTAACATCTCAAATCTATGGTAGGGTGCTTCAAATCATAAGTGCTAAATGATTGACCTGCTAGATGCCACTCAAGTGGAAAAAAAAAGGTAACGACAACATAAAAAATAGCAGAAGATGGTACTTCCAAAATAATATTGAACAATTAACTGTATTTTCGGAACTTGAGAAATGGCGTAGTGTGTTTATTGAAGAAACTGCTAATACAAAATATAATAATTTTCATGAGACTTTCTTATACCATTTTAACAACTCCTTTTTTCTAAATCTGATAGGGCAATACAGAACTAACAATACAAACTGGGTAACACCGGAAGTTTTTAGAGCTAGAGAGCAAGCACTGTTTCTAGATGACTTTAATGAAAACCACCCTACCGAAAATAACAAAGCTGCACATAGACTTGGTAAAAATGTATATAATAAAATGTTAACGTACTCACATAAAACTTTTTATGAAAACAAAATTAAAAATTCCGAAAATGTCAGTAAAACTATTTGGAACATCGTAAACACTGAAACAGGGAAAAATAGTACATAAAGGGTGTATACAAAAAACATAAGTTCAGATAATTTAAACTTGTCATTTATTGCTCATGCTGAAAATTCAGTAAACAGTTTACCGAACAGTTCAAAGGACATGGAAGAATATTTAGGCAAAACGAATAATATCGGATATTCGATGTTTCTTAGAGCAATTGATAGATATGATATTATAGCCATGATACAGACGTTGAAAAACAAGAAGACTGAGGGTATATATAGAATAAGTGTCAATGTTGCTAGAAAGTGTGGTCATTTATTGTTGGACGTTCTTGAAAATATCATGAATATCATCCCCATTTTAAGGAATTCGAGAATAACAAACAGAATGACAGGCAGCAAAATTGTTGATGTTCCAGGTTCAAGTACAGGTACAAGTGCAGGTACAAGTACAGGTACAAGTACAGGTACCAATACAACTGATCACCTGACAAGGCATAAATACGCTTTACGAAGCCTAAAAGTTAGTCATCGGACAGTAAGCCATGATGGTTAAACCTCTGAAGAAGCTAGCCACTCGCGCCAGCGGAACGTCAGGAAAAAATTCCAAGAATCCATGGCTTCCAAACTCGAAAAACAGTGACACTGTAAATGAAGGATGTTTCTCCTCAATGCTGGAGTTGGCAAGAACCTCCCCAATCTATAAAAAATGATCCCCAGAACTACCTCAAAACTTCAGGCAATTATCAATTTTGCCTTGCTTTTCAAAAATATTTGAAACCATTCTTTATAAACAAATAGTTGATTACTTCAATAAGAACAAAATCCTGAGTCACCAGCAGTATGAATCAAAAAAAAATATGTCCACTTTGGACATATTTTTGAAAGAAACGAAAAATTTTTGAAAATCTTCACAGACCTAAATGCAGCTTTTGATTGTGTTGATCATGACATACTACTGAGGAAAATGGAGTACTACGGAATAAGAGGAGTGGCACTCAAACTAATCAAATCCTACTTGTCCAATCGATTTCAAGTAGTTTGTATTGAAAATCAGAGAAGCACTCCTCAGACAATGAGTAGAGGAGTTCCTCAGGGATCGATATTGGGCCCCCTTCTCTTCATTATTTATATTAACGATTTGTCAAATATGGTCACCTCAAATATCGAGACAATTTTGTATGCTGATGACACCACATTTGGCATCAGTATCAATAAAAGGAAGTGTTCGGCTACAATACTTAGTAAAGTTATGGAACCTGGTTCTTGACAAACATACTCATACTCAATAAAAAAAAAACAAAAGTATCATTTTCGGATACAGAATATTCTACAATGTAGGAAACGACCTAGACATTGCTGCACACTAAATTTCTGGGTGTAGATGTAGATGTCAGGCTACTATGGAACATACATATAAATCACAGTACGTTCTCTGAACTTTACTGAATTCAAAAAACACTTGAAGACATTACTTACGGAAAATCTCCTATATGGTATTAATGACTTTTTCCATTCATTCCCTGGACCATAGAGCAAAGATGCCTTGCACGATTGTATGTATGTAATGTATTATTATTTTTATTACACAGTTAAGTATCTTCTGAAGATTTTATATTTCACTTTTTGAGCATATGTTAATTTTATCGTATTTTGTGACATGTTCTAAAGCTGTAGCTTTGTTATGAACCAAATAAAATATAAATTTGAATTGCACGCCACTTCCCTCCCAACATATCCGCCACGTTGATAGGGACTCAGGATCTTCTAGATGCGGCTGATTGGCATAGACAAGCTGACCGTTATTTAAATAATAGTAATAATGATGAGAAAAATTTTGAAAATCGGTCTCAACGTGATAAGCGAGTTGACGAGGAATTCATCGAATATACTTCTGTCAGAAAATCATATTTCCTGCTTGACAGTAGGGAAAGAATATAAGGAGACCTCCTCACTTCCGGGAAACGATGTGAATTTCCATTCCTATGCTCAGGAAAAGGAAAATGTGGTAATGGAGCCATTCAAAAAATTAAAATGAATAATAATCCTGTCGACGAACTGCTAGAGGAGTGTGAGTTCGACCACAATGCCTCAGAAATACATTCACCGGCTGGAGATTTCAAGCCTGTGATTCTTGGCTATGACAGATACGAGTTTCGGTTATTTCCAAAAATGTGTCGTTCCAGTAAGAGGAATTTTAAAAATTTCCTCGCTTTCCCTATACTGGAATCTCTATGGTAGGGGCTTTCAAAAGCAAGCACGAAATGGTAAAAGCACAGATATAACTTACTTTTGTCCTGGGGAACGAAACGTTCTCTAAAGAATTTCTCCTAATCCCTGGGATAGCTTTCCCAGTTATAATTGGAGTAGATTTCTCTAGGATACCAAATGTTTCAATAGATCTAAAAAAAGGTGTTTACTTCTGCGACTCAGGGATGTTTGTTAATGAAATGAAACTCCAACACGATTTTGACAGCTTGCTAAGCCCAATTATTTCCACCATTGTTAATAACTCGATGAACAAATGTTACGTGTTAATTTACTTTTTTTTATGATTTTCGTTAAATTAACTAGAAAAAAAAATATACAACTTCGATGTTTATTTATTTATTGTTATGACATTTTTGAAATAGTGCTTCCATGAGATCCGTTAAATTCTAAGTTTTTGTAACCTGAAAATAATACGCTCTGTATATTCAATTGCATCTAGTTATCATTCAATCACTTACCATCAATCAGTTCTTGTTTATAATTGCCTTGTAGTAATTGGTGCTTCGAGTGTTCTCTGAGATTCCTGTGGAATACAAATACGAGAAATAAATAACCTAACATTCTCATATTTAGTTCTTCAAAATATACATTCACATCACTGTTGAGTTATATTGGCAATCTGTGTCACTTCTGTTAAGTTCATATCATTGAAAGGTTTGATTAAAAGGGTTCACCTGTGACGTCATTGAAGATGATTTTACCCCGAACAGACCGTCTGTGACATCAATAACCATGACGACCAGATAACCGCAATAATTAACCCATTTCATGGGATTGCGAAATAAAACTGACTAGATGACAAGTTGACATACCTTTGAAAGGGGGATATCCTGTTCTTTTTTTNTTCAATGGATCAACAATATCAAGGATCCGGTTGGCCGTATTGCCAGATGGGCTGTGAGATTGCAGCAATATGACTTCGATATAGTGCACCGGAAGGGCAAGGACCACGTCGTCCCAGATACTCTGTCCCGAACGGTACCTATGTTGGAAGTCATAGATGCCGCCATTGTCGTTAACACGGATGAAAATCAATGCAAGGACACATGGTACAAAGGTATGTGTCAGAAAATCAAGAAATGTCCTGAGAAATACCCTTCCTTTCGTTTAGAAGGTGATAGACTTTTTAAGCATAAAGTGCTTCGTTACCCAGACCTATCTGAAGAATCAGAAAGCTGGCTGATTGTTGTTCCCAAAGAAAAACGACGAGACATCATCAGGGATAATCATGATCCTCCACCTTGTGGTCATTCTGGAGTTTTCAAAACTGTATCCCGCATTTGTGCTAAGTATTATTGGCCTAAACTCAGACAAGATGTCGCTCATTATATAAAACGATGTGTAACATGTCTGAAAACGAAACCAGAGCAAAAATCACCTGTTGGTTTGATGTTGAGCAGTGCTCCTACGACAACTCGACCATGGCAGATAGTCAGTATTGACATAGTCGGTCCGCTTCCGCGATCAGCATCTGGATATTCATATATATTTTCAGTATTAGATATATTTAGTAAATTTGTAATGTTATACCCATTGAGATCTGCTACAGGGTCGGCTATAGCTCGAATTTTCGAAGATAATATCATTCTAGTCTTTGGCACTCCAAGAACTGTCCTGATGGATAATGGGGCCCAATTCACTAGTAAGATTTTTAAAGAGTTGTTGTCGAAATATGAGATAACTCCACGACACACTGCAAACTATCACGCTCAAGCCAACCCCGTAGAACGAACTCATAGAGTTTTGAAAACTATGCTCACAGCTTACGTCATTGACAATCACAGATCCTGGGACAAATTTTTATCTCAAGTTGCATGCGCTATGAGATCTTCACGTCATGAAACAACTCAACTAACACCCAATTTCATAGTATTTGGACGCGAAATCAAGTTATCTGGAGATTCTGACCATCCGATGGCAGATCAGTTAGATTCCTCCGACTATCAAACAGAAATTCGACATGAAGCTCTTAAAAAAGTATTCAAAGACATATCCTCGCGACTTAAAAAAGCTTATGAGAAGAGTAGAATAACTTATAATTTGAGACGTCGTGATGAACGTTTTAAATTGCTCCAAAAAGTATGGAGGCGCAACTATCAACTCTCTGATGCTGCAAAAGGTATAACATCCAAACTAAATTGTAAATTTGATGGACCTTATACAGTGTCAAAAGTATTATCCCCTTGGTCTTATGAATTGATAGACAAGGAAGGTAAAAACCGAGGTGTTTGGCATGCCAAGGACCTTAAAGCTCACCCTCCAGATGATATAGCTTAATAGTATTTTATTTAGTGTATAGTTTAATGATTTATAGAATATCAGTTTTTTTTTGAGAAAAAAAAAACCTCTATCGGGAAAGAGGGGGATTGTTACGTGTTAATTTACTTTTTTTTATGATTTTCGTTAAATTAACTAGAAAAAAAAAATATACAACTTCGATGTTTATTTATTTATTGTTATGACATTTTTGAAATAGTGCTTCCATGAGATCCGTTAAATTCTAAGTTTTTGTAACCTGAAAATAATACGCTCTGTATATTCAATTGCATCTAGTTATCATTCAATCACTTAACATCAATCAGTTCTTGTTTATAATTGCCTTGTAGTAATTGGTGCTTCGAGTGTTCTCTGAGATTCCTGTGGAATACAAATACGAGAAATAAATAACCTAACTTAGTTCTTCAAAATATACATTCACATCACTGTTGAGTTATATTGGCAATCTGTGTCACTTCTGTTAAGTTCATATCATTGAAAGGTTTGATTAAAAGGGTTCACCTGTGACGTCATTGAAGATGATTTTACCCCGAACAGACCGTCTGTGACATCAATAACCATGACGACCAGATAACCGCAATAATTAACCCATTTCATGGGATTGCGAAATAAAACTGACTAGATGACAAGTTGACATACCTTTGAAAGGGGGATATCCTGTTCTTTTTTTGATCATCACGGCACATGGCAGGAGCTGAATTTGAGAATTGTGCTCACATCTTGGATGGATTTGCCTTATACGTATTAGGAGGTGAATATAAGAGTTTCTTATTCTTGAGAAAAGAAAGAAATATCCACTTCAGTGTTTTGGGATTTGAATTATTCTATCTTCCTAATCAAGCCGTAATCGTTAGACCTCACTTCAGGCCGTCCACTATATACAGGCCTTTTCATTTTTGGCCCCTTTCGCTTTATCTCTTCGTTGTACGTTGGTTACATCTTGACGATTAGCTTATTGTTACCTTTGTTACGGTACTACAAGAAGTCTCTGACAACCAGAAAATCATTGATTACAACTATAATACTTACCACAGAATCTCAAGATCATTTATGAACACACCAGATCTCTACAAAGTTTCGAACGAAGAGAATATCCATTGGAGAAAGATATACGCTGGCAACACCTTGATCAGGCGAGCTCTTTCCATTATTTCTATTGCTTTACTTATATTAATATTACACCTTTTGTTGCTTGTCAATTATCCTGTTTATTGGTTACATTTGAATGCTGCTATTTGGCTGTGAAGCCTTATCTACCAGTGATTCTGAAAGAAAGAATACAACTAACTAAATATCACACCTCTGAGATTATATTTACTTACCACTTACTAGTTTATATATATGTAAACTCTGATGTATATATACATAGGGGTATCAAATGATCATGTCCTTCTCCCCATGCTGAATGATTCAATGTTAAATCTATATGTAGTTAAGTCTACTTGCAACTTGCACAACGAATAAATCCACTTCCTATCACACGAGAGTATTTCTTCCACGACCCACTCTCCGAAAGTAGCTAACCACAGTATTTTAATTAGTAAAAACCCCATTATAGCCCCCAAACGTTGATCCTATCATTTAGAGGCGTTTGCAGGTTATACAAATATAAGAGTTCGGGTCAGAAAGATGTTTTTGATCCCTATATACTTCCAATCCAAATGATGTTTGTTCAGGTTGTCTATTGTCCAAGTCCGAAAAAGAAAAGTTTAAGTTACTTTTATAGAAATACAAACCGATATTTTTGAATTCCTCTGGAAGAACACATTTATATGAGTATAAAATTAAGCTGAACGATAAAATGTACTGTTTAATTAAACCTCACCCAATTCCTGTGGCGCATCGAGATACGGTATCCCAGGCTATTAGGTAAATGAAAGAATTGTGGGTTATTGAAAGAGCCTCCACCCCCTACGTGTCTCCTTTAATGACCACAGTTAAAAAAGACTGGGAAAAAATGTATGTCCAAAATTGACTTGTCTCATACTGGCAGATCCCAATGCGGAAGCAGGGCGGAAAATACTGTGGATTTATGGTAGGTGGAATATGTTATCAGTTGTGTGTGCTGTGTGCTACCCTTTGGAATTTCAACTGCAGTCAGCTCGTTCACCCGAGCCATGAAAAAAGGTTTTGGGGATGAATTCTCTCCCCATCAGTTTCGTGGATGACCTCATCGTCACTAGTGAATCGGTGAAGCAGCACTTTTATCACTTGGATTTAGTATTTAACAGGTTGAAAGCAGCTGGTTTCACAGTAAGGGCTTCAAAATATGTTTTCTTCTATGCCGCAATGCAGTTCTTGAGTTATGTAGTCAACACTGACGGGGTCAAGCCAGATCCAGAGCGTATCCAGGCAGTTTCCGATTATCGAAGGCCTACGAATGTAAAGGAAGTCCAAAAATTCCTAGGGGTATGTGATTATGATTGGTTTTTCCTAAGTAGCTTTGCTGAAATAGCCGAACCTTCGACCAGACTTTTGAAGGAAAAAACGAGTTGGCAGTGAGAAGCTGATCGGAAGAGAGCTTTTCACAAAATAAAGAAGGAGCTGAAGTGTACCACGTTGCTCTACCACCCAGATTTTTCGCGATCATGGCATGTCACCACCGACGCCTGCGACGTCGGTATAGCTGGGCACCTATTTCAAATGGTCGATGGGAGAAAACATGTTGCATGGGTCAGTCGTTTCCTGTTGGAAACGGAGAAGCATTTTCACGCCAACGAAAAGCAAGTCTTTGCGACCCTTTGATGTATTAGTCGGTGGAGAACGTAGTTGTGAGCAAACGATTTTTTTTTACAGATAGTGGGGCGTTGGTGTATCTGGATTCCTGCAGATTGCTGTCACCGCGGATAACTCGTTGGGCATTGGTACTACAGATATTCCGTTTTCAGATTGTTGATTTTTCCGATCGGGACAACGCAGTTTGTGATGCTTTGTCGAGATATTGCGTTGTGAGGTTACCGACACCTGCGGAGAAATCCTTTAATCTCTTCTCTGTACTGAAATTGGAAGATAAAGCGCTTGAGAAGCTCAAACACATTGGGCACCTCCAGCAAGAAGACATAAAGTTGTCGTCTATAATAAAGGAGCTTTTCACAAGTGAGGGGTTACGTAACCAGTTTGTAGTATACAATCAGGTTCTGTATAAGTTCAGTGGCGGTATTACTGGGCGTTCTGCAGCAACTGGTTGCGGATATAGTTTCCAGGCCAAGATCGTCCCAGCTTCTAAAGATGACCTCCGTGCGATCGATACCCTTGGGTCACTCATCAGGTTTAGAGGAGAGATCGCCTACACTATCATGGTTCTCAATGTTTTCACTGAATACATTGCCTTATATCCTTTGGAACGGGTTACGACTAGGGCAATGCTAAATAGATTACGGAAAGATTATTTCCCCACATATGATCAAGTTCGCCGCATACTATCTGATAATGCTACACAATTCACCTCGAAGGGGTGGAAAACTTCTTTGGCCGAATTTGGGGTTCATCTAACTTTTATTTCGGTTCGGCATGCTTGTACTAACCCTGTTGAGCGCTGTATGAGTGGAATAGGACGCATTCTGCGACCCTATTGCCATGAAAATCATAGCCAATGGGCTTGCAATATACCGGGTGTCCCACATTTTATGTGACAGGCAATATCTGGTTTGTTGAAGGAGATACACAAAAATGTTTCATACAAAAGTTTTAGGAGTTCATGAGAGCTATATTTTGATATAATTTTTAAATATACAGGGTGTTTGGTGTAGGTGCTACAGATCAAAATTCCATTTTTTTAAATAGAACGCCCTGTATATCATTACATATTCAGATGCTACGTTGAATTCTGGTATCATTTCATGTTCGGTTTTTGAAATTCGGTTACGGCGTTGTTGAGTTATTGCACTTTTTCTTAAATATAAAGTTTCAAAAAAACTTATTTACTCGTACACGAATCCAGTCTATATCTTTTATTAAATTGAACTAGAGTACTACTGAATACAAACCATTATTCTCACCTCTACGATACGATATCGATATCAGTTGAATACAATATTGAAATTCTTGAGAATGTGAATATTTTAAAAAATGGAATTTTGGTCTGTAGCACCTACACCAAACACCCTGTATATTTAAAAATTATATCAATATATATAGCTCTCATGAACTCCTAAAACTTTTGTATGAAACATTTTTGTGTATCTCCTTCAACAAACCAGATATTGCCTGTCACATAAAATGTGGGACACCCGGTATAACTTCTTCAGGGGTATACGAATTCTATTGTACACGACTCGACTGGTTTCACCTCAAATGAGCTCCAATTAGCGAAAAGGCGACCCAAACTACTTCCGGCTCGCTCAACATAAGACGACGCTGTCGTTCTTTCAAATCGGACCCTTGATAGAAGCTCATTCTGGCCAAAGCAACTCTCAAGTCCAAGGCGGAACGTAGAGCGATACGATACCCTGGTCGCCCATACGAGCCATATCAGGTAGGAGAGCTTGTGCTGCTTAACGCAAATAATGTATCATCAGTCTTTGGGGCCGAAACCAAAAAATTGTTGTTGTTTGAAGGCCTCTACCGAATAAAAAAGAATTTTCGCGAAAATAGTTACCCCCTGGAGTTTTCCGGTGGATGCCGAGAACGAGGTCTATTCTACGCCAGGCATTTGCAAAAAATATCTTCAACGTCCATCGTAAAGGACGCTAGCCGGTTTTTATCTGTCGAATTTTAGAGTGTTGCTGTTTCGTTAGAATTTTCACATGGAGTTATAAAGTGCATCATAGAGTAATGTTGACATTTAACGGGTCGGCGCCCTCACTGTTTTTTTGCTATCCAAAGAAATTGTTGTGAAGAAACAGGAAATTTCAAAGATAAAGTCAAATAATTTAGAATGTTTGAAATTCATTTCAGCGGGGGTCGGGTGTAACGAATCTATAGTTCATTTCGCTTAAATCAACTGAAGGCGACTTCACGTCTCTCAACGAATTACTGCCGCACACAATGGAAGTAATTACAAAGAGTACTGCTGAAGATCCTTCTCCATCAGCTTATGAGTACAAGGTGAGGCAGGAGGAAAATGGAGGGCACAGCGCGTTTCACTTGTTCAATATTCATTCTTGTTCTTGAGGTTAGTTTTTTCATGTGTTGAAGAAAACGAGACATATTTTTTCTAGGAGTGTAGTGCGAAAATGTGAGAGTACTGAAGGATAGAAGATCACTTTGAGTTTACTCTATCAATAGAAAATTTCATAAATTACAAATCATAAAATTAATTATAAAACAACAACAAAAATTAATTGGCCCTCCGGGGCGACTTCATTGATTCCAGTGGCATTTGCTTTTCCAGCAGTAGGAAAACCCGAAAAAATCTGCAACCCCACATTAACTGAAGCTACAGATAATACTTTCATTGAAAACTCACAATTGTTATTCTACCTGATAGGTATGCATTTCAGATAATTTCGAGTTTATTCAGATTGTAGTTAGCTTTATGGATCTAATTCTGTAGATAATCACTTTCCTGAGGTAGATATGATGAGTATAGTATATACGAAGTCAATTCGAAAGGCATAAAATCTAATTAGTTACCGAACGTCGGCAGTTCCTTTGTATGGCATGAACGGCGAGGTCTATTCATTATTTTTATGTGGAAGGTTTTATATGGTATCATCTAGTAAATTTATAAGACCCAATACACCAGTCTTCCATTTAGCAGTTCGGATTGAGTTTGTATAGACTATACTCAAAATGGTACATATTTGGGTACTCATAGCTGAAAATAGCACCTAACTCTAGTCTGACTTCATTTTCGATTCAACCGTTATCCAGTATGAAACTTTACTCAGGATATCAAGCTGATTCCAACGATCCCACTTGTGTGTATAATACTTTCTACTATAACATCAAAAACTGGATGGAAACTGACGCCGTCACAAGCACCTTTTGTGATGGGTCAGTCTCCATCAGGGTCCTCAAATCCTTATCTTGGATTACTATAGGTCAACCACTTCGGGGCTCATCTTCCAGGTTGAAATCTCTGGAATGGAATTTCGCACACCAATTTCGAACAGTGCGTTCAATAACACTATAATTGTCAAATGTCTGGTTTATTTTTCGATTTGTTTTAGTAGTGCTTTGGTTCAATTTTAATTCGTAGGGAAAAATTGGCCAAAAAAGGCAATAATTTAAAATTTGAAAAAAATTTGCAGTATCAGTGTATAGACTACAAAATTTTTTATCGATCAATACACAGGGTATTTATGGAACATGCGTTGAAAATTTATGGGACTATTTATGGGATAATTTGTTTTATGAAATTATTTTTCGCCCCGTGTCTTCGAAACGAAGCGCACTATCAAAAATCATCAAAATATCCTTAGAATAGACTTGTTGAACTAAAATAATACTCTCAACTATATTGTGAATTATGGACTCTCAATTCAATTTTTGTATTTCATCATTTCTCATAGATATTAGGTGAAATAACACAACATGTTGTTGGATTTTTTTTTATTATGACTAACTAACTGTTTAATTCAATTACATATTACAATGAAAATGTATTATGATTCACCTCTACTCTATCCACTATAAAGGCGATTTTATTGGTTTATAGTGCTTTTGCTCATTTTTTTGGGTGATATTCAAACACATTCTTTTTCCAACGTGACGCTGTCAATGAGGACATCAGTGAGGTGATTTCTTAAATTTTCTAGATTGCAATCAAACTGAAGACATCCAGGTGGAGTTATTTTCTCGACAACATCTTTTTGTTTATAATAAATGTTGACATAGTATGATCCCAAGAAAGACCTCCATAGCTCAAAATAGATTGTGCTGGCAAAATAAGGGGAATGAGGCTTGAATGATCTCAAGCCAGAAAGAATTGCGGCGATGTTGGAGTCATGAGCACTGTACATTCGAAACAATTCACCTGAGGAATTTTCTTTCATTTTCTCGAAGTGTTCTATGACTTCATTGAGAAAGGCTCCGGAACCTAAAAAGTTCATATTTTTTGTGATAAAAATTTGATATTGCTGATATATAAATCTATATACCTATTCATGATGATAATTGAACAATTTTCACAGTATAACATTAATTCAAAACGCATTTCACTACACAGTATTTTTTTCAGTTGACATGATATCTTATAGTATTTTCTGAAGCCTTTCACAAATAACAAAACTGAATTAGTTAATAATAAAGTTTATAAATATTCAGTGTCCATATAATAACATAACGAATGATTCTAGGTGAGCAAGAATACTTTTGAGAATATTAAAACATTGACAACAAATCAGGTATTTGTCAAACTAAGATGTTGATTGTTCGCAATTTTCCTTATATAGAGAATCTTCCGTCAGTGATACTATGCAACCATCAAATTATGATCATTTATCCATATTGGTTAGAGAAGGCTGTAGCAGAAAGTGTTGTTGATCTGCTTTTCACTTTTTCAAATGTATGTTATGTGTATCAGTGTGTACATAAATTAGTTAGTTACAAAAGTTATGCCGATTTTCATGGGTCTACTTTAAATTGTGATATCTCAGTGGATATTTGTTTCTATTTAGTCGAAATAAGCGCCATTTAAATCAGCGCACTCTTTCCAGCGTAACATGTAACAGTCGAATAACTCCGACGCAAATTTTGGCGCATTTCTTCGATTTCCTTCCGTGATGATTTGGTCCGGTTGCAGAAAGTTATAGTGAATCACCATGCATAACGGTGACCACCATACAGTAACCATAGTCTTTTTTTGATGGGTTCATGCCTTTCGCCTGAATGGCTCATCAGTATCCAAACACTATACCGTTTGTTGCAGAGGATCGACTTTTCTTCAAAAAGATAATTTTGGTTGCGCGAAAAAAAAAATACATGATCTCGAAACGTGACATTTCAATGTATGAAGTACAAAATTTTCTATCGATCAATATACAGTGCATTTCTTCAATGCCCCCCCCCTTCTATTTTTTGAACGGGTCAACTCAAAAAATTTGAAATTTGGGAAATTTGCATGAATACTTTATTTTGAAATAAAATTGACAGGACAGATAAAACTTTCAAGATGGCGACTAACCGCCATCAGGGAACAAAAATTAAATAGAAAAGGTGATCTTGTGAAACATAATTTCGAAGCTACCGACGAATACTTCACAATCCTAGAATATGAAGTCAATATCTTGACCAACTACAAAATGGTGGAACATTTAATAATTTCCTGAAGACCAACACATCAATATCGATATTTCTAGAAATATTTTTTTATCAGCCATATTGCAATTCCAACTACCCGATAAGATTTGTTAAGTTATTTTCTGTTCATAAAAACGACAAAAAATGTCAGTACGAAAATGGACATCATTGTTCAGTGAGAATATTCTCATTTAGTTTTCGGTTTTACTAGTAGAAAGATACAACTTTCACTAGTACTTTCACTTTCACGAGACCAAAAGGATTTTCAATGAACGTTTTCCGAATTCTCCTATCTGTTGAAAATATTTGAGGCAACTTGTATCCAAATTCACAACTACCAGTAGTGTACATAACAAAAAGCCCCCAGGTTATTCGTCCATTCCGGAAGAACAGCAAGTGCAAATAATTGGTGAGATGGTAGTAAATCCTGAACAGTCTACTTATTTCTTCGCGAATGTTTGTGAGGTGTCTTCTTCTACCGTGTGGAGACTTTTGAAGAGGAATAGGTATCATCCATACAAAATTGAAATGGTACACCAATTAACTGAAGATGACCCTGATCGAAGAACAGAATTCTGCGAAATCAAGACAAAAACCATTGCAAGGCATCCTACCTATCTCCGCAATATTTGTTTTAGTGACCAATGTACATTTTTTCAAATGGAAATGTTCACAGATAAAAATTGCCGTTATTGGAGTGATACTAACCCTCTCGTTTTCCAGGAAACACATACCCAATTTCCAGAAAAAATTTCCAGAAAAAATTCAACAGGAAACTGTATTTGAATATGCTGAAAACTACTGTTGACCCTCTCATCACTGAAATCGTCGAAGCGAATCCTAATGAATTCGATATGAATATTGTATTCCACCAAGATGGAGCACCACCACATTACTCCAGATAAGTAAGAAACTATTTGGATACTACTTTTCCTAGTCGTTGGATTGGCCGTCGAGGTGCTACAGAATGACTAGCTTTGGACTATTTTCATGAGGCTATTTGAAGCAAAAGCAAAACGAAACTGAACCTGCCTCAATATTGGATACACGGCAGAGAATAATAAATATTTGTAGAGATATTGACGTAACTGTGTTCGAGAATGTTGGGCGTGAAATATCGGATAGGCTGTTCATATGTCAGGAAGTTTAAGGCAACTATTTCGAGCATATTCTGAACCGACCTCAAGCTCATTACCTCATATTATGTAGTTAAATGTCAATGAATTCAGGCAATTATTGAAAGTTCCACCATTTTGTAGTAGTTGAAGGTAGTGACATCATATTCTAGAGTTGTGAAGCATTCAAAAGCATTCGCAATCTTGAAAGTTTCAACCATCAATTTCACTTCAAAATAAAGTATTCATGCATTCATTTCATTATCCCAAATTTCAATTTTTTGAGTTGACCCGTTCAAAAAATAAAAGGGCCCCTCCCTTATTAAAGAAAAGCACTGTGTACCAGGACATAGTAGAATGAATTTTCATTGAGATATGGAGCTACAAGAACACATGACAACCAAATGGACAAAACTTTCGATACAAAAAATATGTTTTTGAAAGGTATCAACATCATCGAAAAAAGGACTTATCGTCACACACAATGCAAATGTTGGTATTTTCAAAAAAAGGAACGGTACTGAGCCCAGAGGGCTACACTGTTGCAAGTATGAGTGAATGATACTTTCAAGGGTAAAGCTTCTATTGTGAATGTTCCTGTCCGACGCGTTGGACTGAGTGAATGGGTTCTCACAATATAATTAATATTGGAACAAGCCAAATCGTTGAAAGATTGCACTGCTTATTGAAAAATAGAAAAAAAATTGATCTTTGGTTGACTTACTGAGACGAGCTAATTTGGTACCGTATCCAGAAAGTTGAAATGAGTACCCCGATAATGTTGCCAATGGTTCTGGAAAAACTGCATCAGACCACGCAGGTAAAGTGTAACCAAATTCGTTTTCAATAAAAAGACAGTCGTAAATAATCGCAACGTCATTCACAGAGGTAACATTGACACCACTGTATTTTGTGAGGTACTCATACGTCTCTGCATACGTTTTGTCAATATGCTGAAAATACGGTTCGTTTTTCAATACTCTGTCTTGTTCCCTGTTTTTGGCAGGACACCATAAATTCATGACAGTTGGATTTGAAGGATGAACGGGAATGGGGCTCCAAGCTATGTCGGGGTTCCATAATTCCGTTGCAGTAGGGGGAAAGAGACCTAGGAGGTTACACTGAGCTGACATGTGGGTCCTGTCGATATCTGTCGTTTGAGCGGAGAAAAACTTTTCTGAGTAGGCCTCTGGTAAAAAATTGCTGTATCTTTCACGGGTATATTGACCAAGTCTATAGTGCTGAGTTTTGCCAACCTGGAACAAAAACATAGATCCAATTCATGTGGTTCGATCGAATTTAATTTGAGGTGCAATAAAACTAACTATGAATAAAAAATAGTCTGAAAACAATTTTATTTTATCCACCGCAGACTATCAAGGGATTTGAAAGTCAAATGAGATGGAAATTAACAAAAAACCATATCTTTGTAACGTGAGGAATAGACAATGACAGTTATAAGAGTTGTTACAGTGCGGCCAAAATGCTTTTATTGAGAATATCGCGATCTCGATATGATGTCAGTCAGAAGATATTTTCATCAATCACTAAAAAATTCTATAATTTTAAAATTTTCCATTTGAAAAAAGAGGGTTTCTGGTTTTGTTATTGCTACGGTACATAATATTACAATTTTATTGTAAAACTCTCACTAAATACTTCACAAAATCGCAACAACTCTTCAAATGATTATTACTGGAGTTTTTTCCCAACACCAAACCGCTATTTTAACACCTCGAAACGTGTGTGTTTCGATCACCAAGTGATCGTCTTCAATAGGAAGATCAAACTCTTCAAATGTACAGAATATCTAAGAAGTTATTCTGTAGTGCTTCTGTTTGTGAAATGTTTTTTAAAACATAATTTATCATCCCAATTTCATCACAAATGTTAATGGTAGTGATTTTTTAAATCTGAATCTTACAAAATGGCTTAAAAATTATGAGAAAAAAGGAATGTAAAGCTTAGTCGGGGCACTCCTCTTTGAAAGTTTGGAAATAACTTCCAATAACCATCAAATTCTGATTGACTCTATTTTCTCTTTTTTAGCAGTTTTCCCGGTTTACCAACACATTGCTGAAAAGCTATCTTGGAACAGTACAGCAATGATTTCAAAGTATTTTCCTTGTCAAATCCGTTTCATGTTTGAGGACCAGAATCTAGACTTTATTCTTATGAATGAATCTTATCGAGTTGAATTTCATTGAGGGGGCATGTGCTACCTTATTTTCAGGGGTTTTCAATTCTTATTTCACCAATATAATGATTTCTGAAATATATCTGAATTTGTTATTGAAAAATACATTTTCAATGTCTTCATAAGTAAATAAAAGGCAGAAAACATTTTCGGTCGAATATTCAAACTGGTGAACTCTTGTTCCATGACAAAAGTGAAGGTATTGCTGACTGAAGATGTAATGAAACTTTTAATTTCCCCTATTGAGATAAATTCTCATTTATAATACCAAAAGTAATGTAAGTACCGGTTAGAAGAAGGAACTCAACCTTGAAACTGAGAAATTTGGCAAAATATTCGAGTAACGAGTTTCATTTTACATGGTGCGATCATTGTCATGGAACCTGACATAATTCCAGCACGCATTTAGATGTGTAGATAAGTATGTTGGGAATTGCTGAAATAGCTTGTCAGATATTTTGAAACGTGTTTTGAACTAAGAAGTTCAAGTATTGAGTCACATATATTGAGTTTGACCCCACAATTATAACCAGTGGCTGCTAGCTTTCTTGTTTCAAAAAACAAAAACATAATTTCAATACAAATTGAATTTTTGACGTTTGGTACTCACATTGGTTAACTGTCCTCTTGACACAGGCCAATATGTGGAATCCGAGTAAGGGTCATTGGGATAGTGAGCGTAAGGAGTCCTTTGACCATGACGAAATACCTTGAAATAGAAAAATAAGGTACCTTGATTTACTTGAATCCCGAATTGGTGGTGTGAACTATCACTGAATCATTCATAGGAAGTATTTGTAAACGATCTTATACCTGAACCACAGACACCAAAGTTGATGTTGACAAAATCGGCGTGACCAGAGAAAAAATAACGACAAGGACTTCGAGCAGCATGATTTATTTTAACTTCCACCTACAAATTCAATTGACCCTACTGCTGAACTCATCATATTCACATTCTTTTATACCTTTCACTAATATTTTGTATCATATAAAAGGATGATCTGGATTACCAATTTATGGATCATAATCAGATGAATCATAAACACAAAAATCCGTCTGAACAATCTCTCATAACTTGTTCAAATATCTACTGCCATCATTGTGGTAATGAACATATCTTCAAAAAAACTACTTTTTACCTCTCGAAATCAACGGAACAACTTTCTTTTGTGAAATTAACTAACCGATAAATTCATAGCTTTGAAAATGTGAATAATTTCGATAAGCAGTGTATGAAATATAGATGCGAGTTAGCCACTCAGATTCTTTTTATATGATCTCAAACTTTGCATAAAAGCATCAATAAAATCAATTTCAAGATGGATAAATTCACTCACCTAATTTGATGTGGTATTGCAGAGGAATATATTGCAGGAGTGAAACTTTCTTTCTTTACAAGAAAAAATCGCACATGAAATTTGTTTGCTTCGCAGACGTGATAATATCGCAGTTTCGTACTTGGCCACGACGAAAAACGTTATCTTTCTCAGCACCTCTCCTTGCATGTCTATCGGAACAACCAATTCACGGAAAGAAGGAAAGGATCTACACAAGGATATTTCAAGGAGTTCATCAAATAGGTTCAAATGAACAAAAGCAATTCAAATTCAGTTAACTAGTTTATTGATCCAATAAATTTTCTGAAGAAAGGTTGGTTGGGTAACAAGAAAATGAATCCTTTTTTTTTGGGAAAGAAAGTTTTTGGCTTTCTACTACTCCATCTGATACAAAAAAAGGAATGAGAGAATCTTCCAAAAATTAATCACTTCTAAAAATATAACCCCTTCAATTCAAAATGGATCCTGTTACCCAACCAACCTTTTTTCAAAGCAATTTAAATTATTTACACGCATAAATTGTGAATGTAATAAAAACGTTTACTATATGAAACAAATATTCTGAAATATCATTGCAGGTATGAAATAAAAATATATATAAATATTTTATATACAAATATATAAATTCAATGAAGCGTAGTTGTCAAGACCATTAGCAATACCATTAGCAAGAAATAGTTATCGTAATTAGGAAGAGGACAATTCAACTGAGAGTATTTCAATGAGTCCTTTGTAGTTTTCAAAATAGCAACACAATGGACTCCGTCAGCACCTGAAATTAATTCAGTTACTCGCCCCATTGATCAATCTAAAGGATTAGCATTTCCATTTTTAATGGTGACCATCGTTACCGGAGTAATTGTTTCCAGTGGTTCAGTTCATTTATATCTTTGTTGTTAGGTAGGTTCGCTTCCAGAAGTCACGATGAAGTCTTTGTAATAATTGCCATCTATGAGATATATCAGGATCAGATGAAGCTGAAAGAGGCTCTAATGTTAGAACATGACCAGGTGTAAGTACTGTTGAATTATTAGGGTATGTACTAATAGAACACAATGGTCTGGAATTCATCACTGACTCTATCTGAATGATGACGAAGTTTAATTCTTCATATGTAAAAATTTGATTGCCAACAATTCGTATGGGATGAGTTTTGAAAGATTTGATGTTAGCTTTCCAAATTCCGCCCGTGTGAGGAAAGTAAGAGGGATTGAAGTGTCAGGAGATGGATTCAAATCTAGCGGATTTTCCAAATATTTGAGGCAAATATGACTCACTTTCAAAAAAATTAAAATCACAATATGAGTATATATTTAGATAAGTGCCTCGTTGGGCAATGAACCTTCGTAAAACGGCCAGAAAGTTCCAGATAAACAGCTTCAGTTGCACAACAAATGAATGAACAGACATAGGATTTTGGTATCCTCCTCGCAAATGATAAGCTTTTATAGAAAAATGACTGTTTATATCAATTCCAACATTCGAAAATATTTTGGCTTGAGAAATTCTGAGTTTGGCTGCAATGTATCACATTGCAGCCGGTGAAGGTTTGGATTGAGTTTTCTAACAACATTTACTTAGTACCTTTCGATTTTTTTTGCAGAAATAATTCAAAAATTTTGTGATGAGGAAAAATGAGTAGATTGTATGCCACAATGTAAACAATCAATATGAACACCATTCATTCGTGATTTTGGAATTATTTGGTGGAATAATGGAGTATTTTTCATATATGAAGCGATGGAATGAGAAATCCCTCCACCCATTCGTATCGAGCCTTTCTCGTCAATAAACGGACTCAATGACCTTGAACCCATCTCTTCAGCAAAGCATATACACTAGTGTCGAGTCACTCAGACAACCGTATTTTATAGCTGAAGACAGGCTAGGTAATCGACGTTTCGAGATCTGTCATTCTCAAAATTATGAATAGCCCGCAAAACGAGTGCAATTACTCTTGTCATTTTAGAAAATGAGTTGAATTTCTCTATAAGATTATCAATGAAATGTTTTTTCACGGTAATATTCAAAAGAATGTTTCGCTTCTCCTTATCAATATCACCAGATTTTACGGATACAAACTTATCCAAAGGCTAAGAGGAAATGGGTTTTTTCAGAAAGGGAAACCAAGTCCACCGTAAAGTATTATTGATTATTCTACTCGGAAAAATACCGCGTGAAACACCATTAGCGTGTGATACCAAAAACTAGGTGAAAGTCGTTATTGGATAGAAGATACGCAGTTGCTCACAAAAGTTTGCCAACAATGGGGTGAACCTTTGATCTTTTGAATAGCGACTGAACTATCTGTGATTTATGACTGTTAAATTTATGGATGTTCGATGTATCGAGGAACAAGTACAAATCAAAACACAACAAGATCTCACATTCAATAATTGAACAAAACCATACAAAATCCTAGAGAAAACTCGAATACAACAGTGTATGGGGATTTTCAAAATATCACGGAGGAATTCAGATACAGAAATACAGCAAGGACACTCTGTGTATATCTATTGAAATCCACAGCCTTGACAGGAAACAAGTACAAGAGAGTGGGAAATTCAAATATCAAGATTTGTACATCAAAATTAATTGTAATTCGAAAAACAGACAACCGATATAGGTTAGAAAGAAACGTCAAATGAAATTAAATTAATATCTGTGATGAAAAATCGAAAAAGGCATAATACACTAATTATTATCATTTAGGAGTGATGTTAAATACAAAAATCATTGTTGTGAACCATTTCCTTAGAAACGGACATCAGTGATCAGTGACGGAGAAAGTGATGCTTTTGGAAAATATTTATATTTACTATGAGATTAACTATTTTTGTACAAAATTGTAAAATGAAAATGTATCTAAATTTGAGAATCAATGTTAAATCCGTAGAATAGATGAAGAAATAGATTTTCAACTATTTTGGCATCAAACAGGATTCTTCTTGAGGCGACAAAGGAAAACGCCACGCCAAATTTTTCTCTCCATGAATTAAAAAAAATATTTTATGAAAACAGGAGTCGAACATAATTGTATTATATAGTGATTATTAAAAGTAAAGTCAGTGAAAAGCCTACCTGTCCTGCCACTTCTAGTGACATATCCACAAGTTCCAGCTCCGTAGAAAAATCACACCACACACACCCGCGGAGCTTGATTGAACAGCTAGATTAAATAGTTAGATTGAACAGCTTGATTGAACAGCTTGATTGGATAGTTTGATTGAACAGATTGATCGAACAGCTCAATTACTAAATTTGAAGAAAAAAATATAATCAACACAAAATTTAGATAACACAAGAACTAGCAGAATATAAAAGGACTTTTGAAGAAAAGGTAGGAAAAAAAATTCACAGGAGGTAGAAGATCATAGGAAAGAAAGCGAAGAACAGATTATTCAGGTTCATGGAAGAATAACTACTGTAGAAAAAGGATTGGTGCAGGAAGTAAATACAAGGAGAAAAGAGAATGAGAACTTGAATAAAAAAAATTTTAAGAAAAATAAATCAACTAGCGAAAAGTTGAAAGAACACGAAAATAATTCAAATGAAAAAATAATCGATATAAACAATAAAATAAAACAAACGGAAAGAAACTTGAGTGATAGGGAAGAATCAATAAGACCAATTACGACAATAGGTAATGAAAATAAATTAATATTTACTGGAAACATAAAAAGACAACATCTAGTACCTTTCATAGAATTCATTAAAACAAATATGAAAATTTGTCATTTGAAGAAATCAAAGGAATTATTAGAAGTCAATTACAGCAAGAAGTATTCTTGTGATTCACTAATGAGGAAAAAAATTGACCAATTCCGATGAATAAATATGCCATATCATATCATAAATATGCCATGAAAATATATAGTGCATCACAGTACTAAAATCGCAATTTTAAGAAGCATATATAGTAAATTTAATAATCCAACATTTTAATCGTAATTTAGAGGAGATTATGATGCTGTACAATTTTAAGGACATGGATAGTCTATGTCAATTTTTGGTGACACAGAAAAGAAGGAGAATAAACTACAATCGTTCTCAAAATAGGGTTATTCAAAATAATAATAGACAGGAATATGTCAATCGAGAAAGCAATAGTAATTATTATCACCGGAATCAATACAACCAATGATATAGAAGACAGAATATTAACGAAAATGATAATGATAATTATATAAATGACAGATACTACAATAATAGACCACAAAATGATAATAACAGATACAATTATATGAATTACAATTATAACAAAAATGATAATGCAAATAGAAATAACTATAACAGTGAAAATAGTACTGATAATAATAGATATGGACAGAATAGGTACAATAATAATAATAACAGATACTATAACAACAATAATACATTTATACGACGAAGTAGAAGTATTGACAGAAATAATGACAAAGACTTTAGGTCTCAAAAAACAAATAGACAAGACAGTAGGTATAGACAGGATAGGAGAAGTCGAAGTACAAAGAAAATTCGACATATAAATAGTATACGACAAACATAAGTCACTTTCCTAGGATACAAATTGGACACAAAATGAATAAGCATGGATGAAGAAAGAGTTAGAGCTATAATGGAAT